CCCCCCCAAGGAAAAACAAAAGAAGAGAACAGGTAAGACCCTCACACCTGTTCAACAGCAAACACAAGGCATTACAATACACACACACACACAGAGGCCTGCACTCTTTAAAATACTGCATTCAGTCAGATCAATAATGGTATTAATTCAATTAACAAAGGCACATTTAGGAACCTAGAGCACAACTGAATGTAGTGCAACAAAGGCTTCCTCTTCTCTCCATTGTTGTACCAAATGCACCACAGTATGTTTTTCCTCTTTGGCTTTATCTGTACTATCGTTTTACAGCCTTAAGCTTCCGCAAAGGCCAATATCCATTCTAAAGTCACGTATTCTGTCTCAGGGCCTCTAGCTTGAAATAAAGGTGACAAATGAAGTGGAGGTCCCCCAGAGCGACCAAATCAAGTCGTTAGCAGACATTTTCTCTCTCTTTTCCTTCCCAACTCCCACTTTCTTCTTTTAAGTTCTGCATACAGTTCATATAAATGACAGTAAAGGGCAGTAGAGCCCTGCAGTTACAGAAGAATCGCTTGCCAATTAAAACCCACTCAAACAGAAGCCCGACGAGACTGGAAGCGGGCAAAGCCAAATCCATCCCTCCATCGATCCCAGGGCCGGCTGAGTGTAGATTCTGCCGAGCTGCTTTTGAAAACAAAACGTTCGGTGAACCGTGGCACTTCATCTAAGCAGCATGGAGTTGACGGTGAATGAACACAGCTTAGGCTAATGACCTCCCTCCACTCCCACAAAACACAAGCCTGGCATAAACACACACACGCGTATGTGCAGCTCACACTCGTGCACATGCGCAGCAACATACAAGCTTCGTTTTTACCATGGTGGATATTTTCCATTGATTTCTATTTTTTTTATATATACTGAGCTATGGACAAATTTCTGATGCAAACCTCTCCATGTCCGTTAAATAAAATGTTTAACCTTCTTTTCTTTGTGGTTTATTAAAAAAAATCCTGGAGAAAAATGATCATTATTAACAAAAATATTAAGCAGCACAACCATTTTCAACATTGACAATATAGTAAGAAATTATTTTTGAGCACCAAATTAGCATATTAGAATGATTTCTAAAGGATCACGAGACACTAAAGGCTGGAATAAAGGCTGCTGAAAAATGAGCTTTGCCACCCCAGTAAAATATAATAAAACAAAGTAGTAATTTTTAATAATACCATTTCAAGTATTACCCAAAATTTTGAACCATATTGTACATAATTTATTTACTTCACACATTTATTAAATTAAATTATTACATTTGTGAATCTCAAAATATTCAACTATTTGACATTTCGATCCATCACTACTTTGTTTTTTATTAAACAGATGTTCTCATTTTTGAGGATTATGACAAAAATGTGACAAAAAGAATCCCACAGCATGGACCCTCTATCCAAACTGCTAAAGACTGAGGCTATCTGTTGTTGGCCATCTTTTATGAGAAAAAAAAAAACCTGTACATACACTACATACGTTGTTTGCTATTATATGTCTGTTCTGGTATAATGAAAAACTTCAGCAAAGAACAACCATGAGTTCAACAGCACATTTGTACAAAAAACGGTTTCACAGAGAGAGGGAAAAGATAAGGGATAAAGAGAGCAGTGTGTCGGTGTACGTAGGAAAGGGAGGATTCTCTGTAACCAGATGCATTCCCATGGGAGAAAGATAGCAGGAGTTTGAGTGTGAGAAAACACAGCCAGTTGGAGAGAAAGAAAGAGCAAGACTGTAATCTTTGTTTACCCTCCCTTATCCTGTCCTCCCCCTCTCCCCTCATCTCTGTCTTCTCTCTCCTCCCACTCCTCTGGCCAGCAGTGAGGCTCCTCATTGTTATAGGGAGGAAGCTTGCTTGGAACACTTTATGGTCTTTTAAATGCATAGGAATGGCTCAGTGAACAAAGGCAGGACCCCCACTTTGAAATGAACTGCCCTGTTAAGGTGGGTGGCATTTCACACACACATGGTCACAGAGACTTTAAAAGCGAAGCTAAATGACCAGTGCCAAAGGTTCAGGAAAGGAATGAGTGTGGAGGACTGCCTCAGTTTTTGTTTTTCAGTGAGGAGGAAGTTCAGTTGGTGCTCGTTCTATTTAGTCTACTGTCCTGGAGGTTGATTCACTCTATCAGTATTTATGGGTTAT